GGTCAGATTATCAAGTCACGACTGTAATTAAACAAATATTGAAGTGTTTTAACTGTGCGCTTCCTGTGTATTTGTACTTTAGTTGGTCCACAGCTGACACAAGCCCCAAAATTTCGCAGATCCAACTGAATAAAGAAATAAGTTTAGTTTAAACATGCTTTCATAGAACAAATTGCACAAAAATACACACATAGACAAGACGTAGAATTTTCCTCACTTTTCTGCTCTTTACCTTGCAGTGAAATTGATGTAAATTAATCTGAGTAGCTGACAGCACTCTGGGGCTTCATCTTGTAGGTAAAATGTTTGCATGTAAATTTATGGCACATGTTTCTTATTTGTTGTATTTCAGCCTTTTGCAATTCGTTTATTATGCATTTTCATGCTGTAATGATGATAAAAAAAAATGTGATATAGCATAAGAAAATATTAATTTGTGTAGCTTTAAAGCCATGAATGTAATGTTGGATGTGAATCTAGCAGCAAGTGGAACATGATTATCTCCAACGTGACGCCTGTGAATTCATCAGGCCTTTGTTTGGTTTCATCAGTAAACACCATCACAAGCCAAGACCAAGTCTCATTGAGCTGAGTCAAGATTCAACAGTCGTCCCAACTGTGGCATCTGGAGTCTTGTTCACGAAAATACCAAAATAGCAGTCGAATTATTCCAAAAAAAAATATATGATGACTGTGACACTCAGTGCAATTCTTCAGCATAACTCATTACAAGCCAGGAGCCACAGAGAGAGAGAGAGAGAGTCGGCATCTGGTGATGCTGAGATGATTTACTTTGCTGTGACGTGGAATTATACATCAACAGTGTGTGTCGAGTCTGTGACAAGACTAAATCTCACTAAATGTGAAAACTGGATTTAAGGATGTGCTGCTTGTTCTGTCGCGAGTCTAAAAGTCATACTTGAATCCTACTTACATAACTGCAAGCTGTTTGGATGGTGCTTCATGGAGGATCTACATTTGAGCCCCATTGAGTGTTTTTTTTAGTTTTTTTCCCTTCATTGGCTTCTACTTGTGAAATTTCCAGACTTTCCTACTCTGTCTGTGGCATTTAACCCCTTTTTACTGCTTAAAATGGGCCAGAAGTATTTATTTCATACTCACACGGTTTCCCAAAACAGATGGACCGCGGAGTTTCAGGACATTTGTAGCAGATTATTTTTAGTGGTGGATTAATACACATTAGAATTTGTGACAGCGCTACAGTGAGTCAAGATAAACTACAGTGTGTATAAATGGAAATGAAAGAAGTCAGCACGACAATGTGGCTCACTGAAGTTTTTAATAGTTTTAGGACAACAATAGAGCTCAGAGGAATGAGACATATCAGGTTCTACTTCTTTGCAGAATCGTGGCTTTGGTATTTCCGCAGGACTAGTTGAAAAGAAATGAAAAAGTTTTTTAAAAAATCAGTAGTGAGTGCTGTAAATATCAACAAAGTGAGATGGAGGTTGCTTGTAGTTGTTAACATGCTTTTAATGAAGCTAATTCAACATTTGCCAGTTTAGAGTAGATTACTTTCAAACCTGCAGTGTCTAACTTTTGTCTCCCCCTGTTGGCAGTGAGAGTAATTACACAAACACTGTTCATGGTTTTTGTTGTTGTTTGTTTTTGTTGTCTTGAAACCTTTCTTGGATGCCTCCTGCAGCCAAGTCCGACTCTGTTGGTGTGGTTGCTTCAATCTTCAGTTCTGGCAAACTGATGGTTGACATTAAATGCATCACTGCTGGTGCACCAGCAACAGATTTAAAGCTGTGGTTTAGTGGAAAATACAGAGAATTTACTTGGTGTTTATACGCTTTAATTAGCATCGTGTGGCTTGGTGTGAATGTGACGGATGTTCGTTTGTAGCATTTAAAGTCAGCCTACGATCGTCACATTGCTATGACAACTTTTCTGTTTCATTGATTACATTTAAAGATGGACGAACCTGCCGTGAAATCTACTATAGGTTTTGGAAACAGTGGTTTTCAAGCTCAGTTTGGTGACTCCTTCTGACTTCCAGCTAATCCAAACATGAGTAAAGAGGTGGAGCATGGACTGTCCTGTGATGGCACCCACCTGTCATTCAAAACAACTGCAGCTTTGAGGCTTATTACAATTAAAACAGATGGGTTATATAAAAAAATCACTTCTGTACTGTTGTCATGAAAAGTAGAATTAACTATAGATATCACATCTTTCTTTGTACCAGGCTGTGGATGTGTTTATTTCTGCTGTAAAGTCCTACATTTTAACATGGGGGTCTAAAGAGAGTAACTCAGTTTTAGAGCCAGCCCCAAGTGGCCATTCGAGGAACTGCAGGTTTCGACACTTTTCTTCTGGAGTTTGCAGCTTGTTCTGTTTCCTTTTTCCAGCTCTGCTTCTGGCACGGGGAGAAATCTCAAGGTGTGACTGGTCAGCCAAAATTTCAAAATAGAAAAACAGCCATCGCTGACCACAAATTTGAATCTATTTGAACAGCTGACAAGAACCTAGATGGCGCCTTTAGCTGCTTAGTGGTGCCATCGACGAAGCTGTACAGTGTATGTCCGGACTTCTGTACCATTGTCGTCGCTCTGTGCCGTCAAAACTAATCAATAAATGCAATACATGTGACATAAAACCAACAACATGTCATGAATTTAGACAATTCGTTAAAGCCCTCCACTACATCTTGTATGTTTAGCATGATAGAAGAAACAGAGGATTATCCCCCAAAAAAGCAGCACAGGACTGACGAGAGGCACACACACTTATCGACTCACAGTTTCTTATATAAATGCATGAAGCCGGAGTGTGTCTGCTGCACCTACAGTGTGTGAGGAGTAATGGAAGATGCAGCATCTCTGCGAGGGGCTGTGGGCCTATACAACAGTTGTCTTGCATTTGATCAAGCGTGTCCTATCACTACCCTGTGTGTGTGTGTGTGTGTGTGTGTGTGTGTGTGTGTGTGTGTGTGTGTGTGGGTTCGGCCCACGTTAAAAGCGTATGTTGTGCGTTTTGTTGGCTGTGTGTGTGTGTGTGTGTATAAATGGTACTAGATGGTGCTGAGTTGTCTCTTTGCTTTAGCTTCTGTGTGCTTGTGTTGCCTGCGTGCTGGTGTCAGTGATGCAGTCTGTTGTAGTTTTTAAGGAGAGAAGAGAGAGAGTGAAAGTCTCCTGGGACTGATGAAGCACATGCGCGCTCACATGCACACACACACACACACACACACACACACTTTGCTCCATAGTGAAAATCTACTGCAGAGAGTTTCTGAGGCAAGATCTTTTTTTTTTTTTTTTCTTTCCGTATAAGCTTTCAGTTTGTCTTTGCTTTTCAGGATTCAGACCTTAACCAAGTGCTTTTCCTGCAAGTGTGTGGCTCTGTGCATGCACTTTGTATCTTTGCGAGGACATTTGTGCAACGTTAGGACATTTTCACTTTGGGACGCGCCTTTGAAGGGTTGTTTGAGGGCACAAACTTGATGAAAGGGTTCATGTTGGGATAAGGTTCAGGTTGAGGTTGAGGTTAGTGACCAGGGAGTTAAGATGTGCCTTTATGTGTGTGTAGCTGTGTTTTGTGTGAAATATAATTGATTTCCCTCCATCCTTCAGCCATCGCTCATGTGAACTCTGACCTGTTGCCTCCAGGTTTTGACCTCACTGGTATATTTTCATCGCTGACTCACATAAACACACACGTAAATGGAAAGATGAATAAAATGTTGGTAGATCATTTCAACAAGCTTTGATTTTTTTCCTTCTCTCTTAACACCAACCCTCACTTTTCCCGTCTGTCTCTGTATTTCTGTGTCCAGCCTCTGCTCCGAAGCTGCGGCTGATGCGAGGCCAGTCTCTGATGGAAGGGGACAAGCTGTACTTGAAGTGCGAGGCGTCTGGGAATCCCAGCCCGTCCTTCCGCTGGTACAAAGATGGACACGAGCTCCAGAAAGGCAGAGACCTCAAAATAAAAACCAACAAGTGAGTCTGTCCGGCTAGATTTTCTTTCTTTTGCTCTACAATCATATGGAATAAGAAGTTTTCCCTGAGCAGCTTCAGCTCGCACCCAAACTGTGACTGTCAGGACTTCTTTAACTTTACTTTCCAACAATAGCGTATTTAGTAAGAAATGTTCGTTAGGTTTTGGTATGAAAAGTCTATAGAAAATTATTTCCTGCTCTATGAAGCATTTTTTTACTACCTTTCAGCCTGTTGTTTTTGGTTTTCAACCCACAAATCAACAGTCCTGATTCACTCTCACAATGATTTCCACGTCAGAGGCCAATATTTTCAACGTAAAAGCTCCATCAAGAAGTTTCCTGAATGCATAAAGAATGAAACCTGGGCAACTTCAGCTTGAACCCAAACTGTGTTGGTAGAAAATTAAACCTCCCTAGTTGTACAATGAGTAAAACTTCAAGTTAAAGTCAATATATTTTATGATAACAATGGTTTAGCTTATGTAGAGTAGAATTTAGCAAGATATTTACCTCAGGATTTGGTGTGAAAAGTGTTGCTGGTATGTATCAGCAGGCAGATGTTTTCAGAGGAGAAGCTCTTCAGCTAGCCTGTAGCCCCGAACAGCAGACAGAGAAGTTCAGCTATATGTTGAACATAAGAGCCAGATATGACCTGACAGAGCTGAATCAGCGTGGTGCCTGGTGTCACCAAAAGGCGTAGAAACAACACAGCAACTCACACCAGAACACATTTTTTTGTATTTTTCTTGTCATTGCACGCCATGTGGCCATGACAAAGGACCTTAGCCTTCATCTTAACTATTTTGTGTATTGTTTTAAACCCAAAAAACTGGCATGAGAGCTGCTAAATGTGCCTGATTTCGAATTCTATTTTCACCCTGAAATCAATGTTTAGAGAGTTGATATTGGACAAGACGCTACTTCCTGTTTGGTAACACGTTATATTCTTGCAACCCCTCAAAACAACTCTTCGGTCACTCGGTTAGTTTGAGGGCCAGATATAATTTGTTGATCGGAAAACCCTTAAAAATGAAAAAACCCTTAAATGAAATCAGTATTTCCTGTGAGCTCCTTTTCTTTTCCCTTCAAACGTGGTCACAGTTTTCAGGCTCCTCTGCAGGTAGGTTGTACCAGACGTCTTTGAGAACTCAGTCCGTCTCGTGACTTTCACCGTCTCAGTCTTCATGTAATCCCAGACCGATTCCATGATGTTGAGATTGAGACTCTGCGGAAGCCCCATACCAGCTGTTACAGGACTCCTTCTTGGCNTTATAAATAGTTACCCAGCTAACAGTAACAAAAAGTAAGGGATTCAATGTTTAGCTAAAAATAATAAATGACTAAAAGCATATGATTAAATAACTAGGAAAACAAATGAATACTGAGCTAAAAGTAATGTATTAAATGTTAGCTAACTACTAAACAGGTAAAGGTAATGCAGTAGCTGAAAAATATATATATATAGATAGATAAATAATAATTACTTAAATGATAAACTAAAAATAAGTAGTTAGTTTTGTGTTACTTTCAGGTAGCTAGTCCTACTAGCTTATTATTTGTTACCTTTAGCTAACTAGTTCTTCATTTTAGCTTTTGTTTTTTATTTTTTACTTTTAACAACAGATTTCTTTTTCCTAACTATTTATTAGTTTTAGTTTACTATTTATTTCTATTAGCTAACGATTTTCGACCTTTACATAACCATTTCTTTCAGCTAAGTACTGGTTAGTTTTAGCTAACTATGTGCTACTTTTAACTATATATGTCTTTTAGCTAACCATTTCTTGCTTTTATCGAACTATTTATTGCTTTTAGTGAACTATTTGTCACCTTTCGCTATCTGTTTGTCACTTTTAGGTAAATATTTGTTCCTTTTAGCTAGCTATGTGCTACTTTTACCAAACTGTTGACAAGATGAAACTCTGGAAGTCAGAATCTGTGTTTTTGAGATAGTCATTGATAAATTACAGCTACAAGGTTGAATAAAAAATAAAAAAAGTCTATGAACATGTTCACTGGTGGTGGTCTTTGTATTTAGGCTGCTTAAAGATCATGCTCCTGGTTAACTGTTGAAAATCAACCACGTCGGGTCTTATCATTAATTAACCGCCATCTTTCTCTGACCGTAACTCTTAACATGTTAATCATGCAACAAGTCAGTTTCGTAAAGGGGAAAAAATAATAATTTGGCAAACATAATAATCAATATTATGTGCTTGTTGTGTTGTAAGAGCATAATTTAAGTTGTGTTTACTCTCAGAACAGTTATGAGCTGAGGAGTTCTTGATAAACACATTTTGTTCTACATTTGGACAGAGTCAGGCTAGGCTAGGCTAGGCTAGGCTAGGCTAACAGAGCCCCGGTTCTAGTTGTGTACTTTAAGCACTGATATGATAATGACCTTTACGTCTAATTTAGCGAGCAGCTAAATCAGAAGCGTATTTCCTCAACATGCACGCCTGTTCTTTTGTGGGCGTCTTGCAGAGCTCCGACACCACACGATGGAAACAGGCCTGAGGATCTGCGATAAAAACTGACCACTCGCGGTGGTTTGGAGAGATTGATGAGCAGATTGACAGAAGGACTGACTGTTATTTAACACTGGATGTATGGACAAACTGGCTGTCCTCTCCTTCTCCTCCTGTGTGTCTTAACCTCCTACTCATGTGTGCGTGTTGCCAGGCTTTAGAAAAATATTCTAATCTGCCGAGACCTAAATTTCATTTTAACACCTCACTCCCTTTTCTCCCACACATATTTTAAATGAACTCCCTGGTTTCTGAGAAGTCGCAGCTATCGTTTCTGTCTGTTTTTTTTCTGTGCTGCCTTTCCACAGTGAAATGATAGATATTAAAAAACTGTAGTGTGCGTAGAGTAACTGTGTAGTGCGACGCCTCGACTCCTTCAGCCTTTGATTCGTGTTCTTACCGATACTAAAGAAAGTACAGTCGGTACATTTGACTTTCCACGTACGTGTTGGATTCTGCTGCATTATTCGCGTCCTCCCGCTGCGTTTTCTTCCTTTTGTTTGGTGGCATTTCTAGTTAATTTACTCTTGATTATTTCTAATGTATTTACTGACTGTGAAGCACTTTGTAAGTTGCTTTTGAAAAGTGCAGTACAAACAAAGATTATTATTCTCAGAGGTATTTTGTCATTGTGAAACTAAATGTCACATCCGTACCGCTGGAATTGGCCTAATGTCGCCCCTCCCACAATGAAATCTCATCTCTTTTCCACATATGGTACATTGTTATTAGATTACAGTTCCCATGATTTCCTCATTGTCTCCTGCAAAATATCCAAAGCAAAATGCAGGATGAGAACAGCAAGCAGCTGCTCGGAGTCCTACAGGAAACAATTTGTCATGAGCGCAGTGAAGAGAGTAAACTGTGGAGGTCTGACTTTATGCGTTTTTTTGGCAAAATAATAAAGCATCCTGGTAACTAATCCTTTATTTTATGCACGCAGAACGCTTCCTGTAATGACTTCTAGCTGTCCTTCTGAAGCAGGACCTCGCAAAGCCCTCGTCCTGATGCCATGTTGGATTTAATGTCGGTCATTTTGGATCTAAAGATGCATGAAATATGTGAATTTTTCTCCTGATGGCAAAAAGGGGAGTAAAAAGTCATAAAAAGGGGTGGCGATGTAGTATGTTTAGTGTGGTTTATATACCGAGTAATGGTGCACATCCTCACTCCTGCCAGGCCTCCTGCCTTATTCACACCAAGAGTGACAAATAGTTGTGGTGAAATTAAAGAAAAAATAAGTTTAAATCCTGGTTCTTCTCTTACTTCTGCACAGCTGACCGATGAGTTCATGACGTGTGAATGTTGGAAGGTTACAGGAATGGTCTGACGTCGATTAGTTTTTGGTTTTCAGTTAAAAGCGGCAAAGGTAGATTAACATTACAAACATTATAAAGGTGAGCAGTTACTGGAAGCTTTTTAGAAAATGTTTGCTCTTCTGCACAGTCACCGGACAGGAAGCACTGTTAGCATTAATTTCAAATCATGTTTCTGGTTACGTGAAACACGGAGCTTGATACCAAGAGGATTATTTACTTTTCTTTTAGTTAAATTTCTGCTTCTACAATCCCCTAAAGTAGATGCTTGGCTCTTTAGCTAAATGCTTTGCTGTTGTTAGCTGGCTTCTTTAGGGACCATAAAACCAAAACAGTTTGCTGAAAGGGGCTAAAATCCTGTCTCATAAAGCTGAGGCCAGATCAGTTCAAAATTCACATTTGATTCATTGTTCATGTGATAATATCAGGCCTGTATGATATGAAGGAAATCTGCAATGTGTGAAAACATTGTTAAATATTGCAATGACAACACAGTCGTGACTCGATAATCCGACACTAAATGTAAAACCTTCTTTTATATCAGATAGCAAGGCTGTCGGATTGTCAAGACAGAGGTCGAGATACAAGGAGGGCTTGATGCTTAAAGGGTAATTTGTTGTTAATATTAATTGTTCATAGTTGTTATAATAACTAGTGTATTGTTAGAACACTACGCATCGCTGGATTTCACGCCTAATTGACCGGTGCGGTTGTGCACATTCCGGCCACTTCCACCCCAGGGGAGCGCTCCGACGGGGTGGAAGTGGTCCGAGTGTGCATGCAGTACTTGGCTGCTGATGCTAGTTTAGTTAGTGGTCACACTTCTGTTTCCATCGGCGGCGGCGGGCGAGTGGCGGGAAAGATACTCTCCACCTTTACCATCCATGTTTACTTCCGTAAACACTGAGCACGTTCACTGTATGTGACGTCATCGTGTCCTCTTCTGCGCATGTGGGACACTTTTGGGTCGTATGAAGTTCACACAGCAGATCACATACAAGTCGTATTTAATTAGAAATGTGAACAAACTCATAAAAAAGTCAGCTCTCACTACAAAATCAGAATGTAGCATTAAGTCCTGCAGTGTGAACGTAGCCAATCTGTCGGATTGTTCAGTCAGATAAACGCCGTTATCCTTGTTTGTGACATAAAATGTC